CTCTTTCCTAAATATGTTTTATATAATAAAAATAAAATAACTCCAGCTCTGTGGGAAAACACAAAAAATATTTCAAAATAAGTATTTAGGAATTTTTAAATTTATGTGCATCCTCAATCAAATTCTCATGCATGTTCTTTAGCAAGGCAATAAGAGAAAGATAACTGCTTCATACTGTTCAGTTGAAATGGATTACTATTTACTGCTGTATTGCTAATGAAGTGTTGTCTGAAAATACTCTTCCCTGTTCTACAGGTCCAAGATTAATGTCTTGAGCATCACTAGTCAGGTAATTTTAGCTTGTGTAGTGTTGTAAATTAAAAGAAAAATAAATTTTAAAAAGATATTTGAAATCTGTAGTTTTGCATAAGGTCTTGCCGACTTTCCAGGATACTGCAGTGAGATGTTGCAAAGCTTTATATAAGAAATTTTGGATATTAATAAAGCATCTTTTAACCTTCTCAACTTTAAGCAGGCTATATATTTCTATCTTTGCTGGCATAGTGGTGCTACTTTTGACATTGCGTTATGTCATGACTGCTTTTTTACATGTTTGTCCATGCCAGGCCTTGGTTCCATAACGTACAGAAGAATTATGAGAGGCATTGCTATAAACTCCTAAACCTTTTATCATACTGGAAGGTGTCTTTCACAATGCCAGCATGGTAAAGGCATTATGGTAGTCTGCAATTTAATATATGCAAGTATATAAAGTGTTGTTAGGCTGGCTAAGCTTTTTGATCAATACCATTAATAATCATTAAATAAACATTTCCTCAAAAGCAAAAGGATTTTTTTTTTTTACCAGAAAAGTTAGAAACCCTTTAATAATTAACAGCTAGGGTATATAACCTTTTATGGAAGAATATTCCATATTGCATAAGTTGTATCACCTATTTAGCATTTGTACCATTACTATATATCAACAAATCTTTACACTCAAAAGCAAATTTATGGTTGTGCTTATAATGTGAAGTGAGAGTTTTTCCACAGAGAGAGAGATCATGAATTTAGGTGATATTTAAAAAAAAATTGATCTGAAACTACTAACAAACATGATTCAGTATATAATTTCAGTGGAACAGCAAATGAAGTAAATTTTAGAGAAGAATCCAAAAAGAGAAAAGAATAATTACAAAAGATTTACCTGTCAAAATGGAAGAATGTATAGAACAGAATTCAATGGGGACCTGTCCTGGAGTCTAGTGTCTGTTATTTTCCCTAATCACCTGGATAATGAAACAGAGAACAGGCTTACTGTCTTCAAAAACACCAAACTTATTTTTTTTCCCCACTTTTGTCAGAGGACAAGATAAAAAGAAAAAATGGTTTTAACCAGTTGGAGAACTGTTCTGGGAAAAAAATTATACTTGAACAAGAGTAAGCGCAAGATACTACGTTGAGACAAGGATGTGAACTGCCTAAGTATGTGTTTGTTCAGAGAGGAGTCTGAGTTGTGTTGATATCACAAGTTCAGAGATTTCAAAGAAAAGGCAGATTAAGAAGTATAAACAAGGATATAGCCTGCAAGAACAAGAAAATTATCTTTTTGCTCAGTTAAATCCTTCTTAGAATTTGATAATAAGGTGACACACTTTAAACACATGTAGATTAATTGGAGAAAATCCAGGGGGAACCAAAGCAAACAATCATAAGGCTGGGTGGAACCTATTTACTAGGAAGAGCTGAGTAATTGTGTTTAGCCAAGAAAGAGGAGGTAAGGTATAGGTGTTAATAATGGTTTTCAGGCATGTAAAAGATGTAACTCAGTGGCAGAATATTATCTTTTCTTCCTGTCCATTTGGGTTAGAACAGAGTTACAGACTTGTGTCAAGAAAGATTTGGACTAGACAGTCTGGAAAACTTCATAGTGTTAAGGAGAATGACACTGGTACGAGGTAGATGTCTGTGGAAAGTGTCTGGGTTTTGATAAACGACACCGAAGTAGAATTTATAATGTACAAAAATAGTACATCCTTAGATGCACAATGTTTACAAGTAAAATAAGCTGGCTCATTTTGCTTGTTTGCTGGGG